TTTTTTTTTTTTTTTCTGCTGATAACTCAAGATGGAGGCTTAAGGTAAAAGAATACATGTTAGTGGTAAAAGACTCTTGTTTCTCACTTTTTCCTTCTATCCTGAAGGAAGACCAAGGAATTTGAGTGTAGACTGAGTTGAACTTTTCTGTTTTAGAAGCTGACCTATCAGCACCATGATAATTACCCACCAATATTGGAGTCAGTTGTAGAGGAAGTGTTTGTGCAGTTATTGGGGCATTCTTGGTAGTAAGATACACAGGGAGACCAATTCAGTTTACCCCTCTGGGTTCTCTCCCAATTGGCAAAGATTCATGCCAATACTTTGATTCTGGACCCCTTGTTACTCACAAACTCCCTCTTATGCATTCTCTGTTCTACTTGGACTTAGCTATCTCTCCCAGAGATTATCATCTCTGCTTTTAACAACTTAGCTTCTGACTGACAATTGACCAACCACGAACATGTTCCTCTCACCACCTGTCCAAGTGCTCTCTTTTTACAACAAGGCCTAGTAGAATGAGTGCATGAGATCCAGTCAAGCCACCCCAAGGACCACTTGCCATCCCCAACACAAAGAGGCATTCATGAGTCACTACTTCGTATTGATAGCTCATGTCAAACCCTCTTGCCCTATTTAGATTGTAAATTCCACGAAAGTAAGGAACCTGGATTTCTCTTCTTTACAACCCTAAAAGACATGTGGATAGACATAACATATTTTTAAAGACTCACAGAACTCTAAGTTGGTTTAAAATAAAACAGAAATTTAAAGATGGGTAGTGAGGTGTCATAGAAGCCTGTTCCTGAGCTCATAGAAATTTTGATTTGCCAGGACTAATTTCAGCCCCTAAATTCTACTTGGATCTACCTTCAAATCTCTATTTCCCCCAAACTTCCTAGTCCCTACTCTAAACTACAGCCGCTACTCTCAGTAGACACAGCCCCATTTTCTGAGGCAGATATTTCCCTGAGAGGATGCTGATTTAATACACCAATTGTGGGAAACAGAATATAATAATAATGGTTAAAATGTATGCAATCTTACTCTGAATGGTACACTTATTTTAAGCATTTTACTTATATCAACTCCGTTATCCTTACAACAATCATATAACATAGCCACTAGAAGTATACCACCCTCCCTACTTTATAATGTGGTAGCCTTGGTAATGTGGTAGACTTAGGTTGGTTGCAAATTATTGCTACTCTTCCTCCTATTGAGAAGTGATATTTATGTCTCCTCCTCTGAAACTGGGAAAGCTCTTTGACTGTTTAGACTAATAGCATGTTGTACAAGGGACACTACCAGTTACCTAGCCCAGGCTAGATAAAACTGGCACCCTCTACTTACTGCCCCTGGAAGTACTCTCTCTGGAAGCCCTGAGCCTCTGTAAATAGAGCCCATCTACTTTGCTGGAGAAACCACAAGGAGAATCTCAGAGAATACATGGAGAAGGAAAAGGGCCCTGCTGAGTCCCATCTTCCCAGTTAACTCACCAAAGCACAAGGTATGTGAATAAAGCCAGACCCTCCAGGCAAAGTCAGCCACTGAGTGAACACAATTATCTCTCTAGATGGGGCAGAAGAATTGCCTTGCTGAACCGTGCCCAAATTTCTGTCTCACAGAATTTTGAGATCTAAATGACATAATTGTTTTAAACCACCAAGTTATGGGAAAGTTTGTTTCATAGAAATAGTTAACCAGAACTTACATGACTTGTCTGGGGTCATGTAAGCTAATATGAGGATGAACAAAGTTTTAAGCCCAGCTAATCAAGCTCCAAGTACATGCACTGAATCACTATGCTATAGCCTTATCACTGGAAAAATACAACAAATTTGGCCAAAGCACCCTGATCACCGTGGAGGAAAAGCTTTCCTCAAGCTATGCTACCTTCTATTGTTAAATCACTCTAAAGTAGGTAATAAAGCCTGTCTTGTTTTCAGATGTATTCAGTAAATATTTACTGAGCACTTACGAAGTACCAGGCCTTTACTTGAGAATTATCATTCACACACCTGCTTTCTCAATGCACATCTTAATTTTTTTTAATTCAATAGAGTACCTAGAGATACCCTTCTCAATGTAGGATCAAGACCTGATGCTTGGGCATGATTGCTATGAGTAAATTAACATCATTCAGGTTATTCACAGATAGTTCTACACTCTTACCTGTAACAAAATGGAATCAGAAAGATCAAAGCACCAATTACTTCTAAGAGGCTATAATGCTAGAGAGACATACCATCTCAAAAACTACTTGTTCACATTCACGCACAGTTAAGAGCAGCACTGAAAGCACTTTACAGTTTTCCTTTGATCTGAAATCAACACTAACCCAGGTTGACCAGAAAAGAACTCCTGAAAGGATGTTTTCTTCACTTTTGCTTTAAGAAAGAACTAGAAGATTTTCTAACAGACAGGTTTTTATACTGGTGGACCCATGCGTTTAATTTCTTTCTCCTAGAGGAGTCTCATTTTAGGAAAACTTTGCTTTAATAATGTTATTAAAGCAAAAGAGGACAGACAGTGGTATCATCTGGAAAATGTTCTATGTATGATTTCACATATAGATAAAAAAGTGAATATGAAATCCAGTCTTCCCTACCTTTTTTCCCCACTCACTTCTGAAGTATCTCCCAGAGATCAGACCTTTATGAATCCTCCTCATCTAAGAAAAGTAGTGGGGTCACACAGGCATATTAATGCATCTGGGAAGGACCTTCCTTACCTGCAGTCTCTAGAGTCTGGGAATTGTCCTAAACCTTGAATAGAATTCAGTAGTTGTTGGGTTCCTAGTCCTAACATAGGTTTGGCATGATCAACAGAATGTGTTTAAGACCAGACTCGGCTTGAACATGAGGCTATTAAGTTTTTATGGAGCACAGGGCAGAGTTCTGATGACTAGTGGTCAAGAACAAAAAAGATTTCCAAATCCCTTGACACAAAGTTATTTCCTCTAATTAGTCCTTCAAAAAATCCAGGGCTTTTTTAACCCCTCATCCCAGTCTAATCAATTCTTGTAGGCTATTAGCTTTCCTCCAAGAAGATGTACTTAGCCTTAAAACCAAAGAGTCTCAACAGGGTTATAACTCATTTTTGTAGACTTGGTAGAAGTAAAAGGAAAAGTATGTAGATGTAGTTCAATTATGACTGGACTTAAAGAAACACACGCCAGAGAGAGGCTGTTGGAGAAGGCATTCCCAGTTGTTCACTTCCTCTAAAATGGCCATACGTTCTATAATGTTTAGAGTTATAATCACTAGCAAGATTTTGTATCTTGTACCCTACTTTTCTTCCAAAGCTCTGACTTTCTTAGTTTGTGGAAAGACTTTAGGAACTCACCCAGTTTATTCCCATTTATGTATGTGCTACAGGAGGGAAAGCCAAAAACCAATAATTACTACGGCTTGGTTCCCAAATCCCCATGTAACATTAAATCATCTCAAGGTCAGTGAAAATTTGGACTTAAAAAGAACTGCAGGACCAGCCATTCCTATGAAGAAAAACCCATTTGCTTCTCTGCTTCCCACAGAGTTAGCAGAATACGTTCTGACAGAAACAAAACAAGTCTGCCAAGGCCTGTGCAGACAGAACTATCCTTTCACCAGCAATAAACAGATCTGCTCTTGAGCTAGAGAGAGTCATAATAGAAATATACATTGCCTTTTATCTTCTTTTCAGTGAGTAGAGCAAAGCATCAGGAGTTATTGGTTTAATATCAGTAGAGAAGAGCTATTTTTTTTTTCTCTTGAGCATGTGTGTAGGTATGCATGTAATAGCATGTGTGACTGTAACAGTGCTATGCTAACCAGGTTTTTAGAAGCCTTTTGAAAACCGTAAAATTGCCCTTATGACATTGTCAGCATATACAACTTCAAATTGTTACTATGGAGACATGTAAAGAGCTGTCTCTGCTCAAGGAAAAGGAAAAAGGAAGGCAACAGATAATACACTTACCATTACCTAGCTCACATATATTTAATTCTGAAAAATGGGAACATATAGGTGGTATAATTGACTATTGACTTTAAGTTAACAATGTCCATTGGAGTCAATGTAAGGGTGATGTTAAGACACAACTGAGCTCCTGGATAATGTCTTAAAACTAAGAAGCAAATGGGACAAGTGCTAATCCACTGAATGTTCTATAACACTAACTAGGCTAGGGGTAAGTAATTGTCCCACAAGCGACTGGAATGTCTTATGGTATGCCAGAGCATTTAAGGTTAATAACTCAGTTAACCTCCTGCCCCCTACTAACTAGATTTATTAAATGCCAAGGGAGTCAGCAAAGTATTAAGCTTAGTTTGGATATAATTACTTTCAAATGGAAAAAAAAATTGCCACAAAAACAAGGACTTCCGGTATAGCCAAACTCAAACCTTCAAATTTTCAACTGTAATTAGTATCTGGATCAAATATAAAGAAAACAAAATGGGCACAAACCTGACACTTGATTAATCAGGACTTGATAACAAACACAAAGACTGCATTTTACAAGGATTAGTTGCACTTCTAACTTTAACTGCCCCTGATTTAATGGTACCCATTGACCTCAATAATGAATGATTCATGTTACATCAAAGCCATCTGGAGAACGTGAATGAAATTGAACTAGGATATAGGCTTTCATATGATAACAAATTTTCCTTCCCCTCCTTTCCCTTTCTGCTATTTGAAAAGAAAAGGTAATAAAATTAAAGGAGAGAGTTTTTCATACTGAAAGTGTAGTCCAATGCTCATTTTGAATAACAACTTTACTATTTCAGTGATAAATACAATAAGAATAACAACCCATGAGTGCCACAGACTTTTATAACTTCTTTAGCAATGACTTCACCTTTCTCTTCTCCTGGGTCTCATTACTATGAGTATCGGCAGGCATCCTTCTTACATGGTAATTCAAACTCTTCAGCTACATAAAACAATGACCATGATAACAATGTTTCAAAGACAAAAATGCAGACGCAATTAATACTTGGAAAAAGGCCTACCTGAATGCTGGCGGTAGAGCGATTCTTACGGGTTGTGGTAGTCGCCATTGTAGTAGTGGTTTCCATGACAGTAGTAGACATTTCTGGTGGCATGGAGGTCGTCTGTGTTGTTCCCAAAATTGATGGGACTTCTCCAACCAGTCGAACACTTCCATTGATTTTAATATTGGGGTTGTTCTCAGCTGCCATGTTCAGTACTTTCAAACCATCATAATAGAGCCCAGAGAGTTGGCCTTGGAAGAGGCGTCCTTTGTCCTTTCCACCAATGGCTATTTGCGCCTGAGTGTTGAAGATGGTTAACTGCCGGCCTAGTGGGTTGGGTGGAGGAAACATTATTATTCTCATACATTTTCCCTGTTTGCCTTACCTGGTCTGAATGGACCAGGCATCATAACAGGCTTCCTTGAGCAACTGAAGGGGAGGAAAAAATAGACAACAAAACCTCAGTACTGACATTAGCAAGTAACATTTCATTATGGTTATCTCTTCCACTGTCTAGCTGAAAATCTTTGATAACTTGAACAATCAAGTCTCTCTTTCTTTATAGTGAGGAAGAAGAAAACTTGGTTCAATGATAAGAGGTATTACAGTCTTCTTGGGTATATAATTGTGGATGACAGAAAGAAACACTCAAATCAGGTGATGACCAGCATAAATTACAGATACCTACTGCATTAATTTTTAAAGCTATGAAGTAAAATAATGAGAATGAAAAGAATTATATATGGCCAAAAAAACTCAGTGAGGTGACTCAGAAAACTAAATTTAAAAACTAGGTCTGATAATTAAATTAGCTGAAATTAAATTTTAAGAGACTTGGATTCATTGCATACTTGTAAAAATGAACTACTAGTCACCAAACATATCATTTCTCATCACCAAACATTTCCTATAAATCTTCATAGGGCATAATATTCTATTTTCTGTTTAACAAAATCATGAGAGATAAATTCCTATCTCTATTAATTTGTTTTTAGGAGAATGGATTATGGACCCACAACTAAAGTATTCCCTCAGTATGAAATATAAGCATATTGGTAATGCTCCAGTCCTGGGGAAGTTATCCTTCAGATTTAATACATTTTTTTAAAGTGGATAGGTATTAATGATGAAAGCAACACACAAAACTCCTTAAAATGACATAGAGGTGTGTTAATGAGTTGAAGAGTATCAGTAGCTCACTTTATTTCGAGTTTCCACGTTGACACCGTTTATACCACTCTGAAAAGTATCAAAATAAAAAATCATACCAGTATAGAGTTTAGAAGAATGAAACCCAACTAAAATTACTCCCAACTCTTTCTACTTATAAAACTGTCTCTCAAGTACGAGATTTTTTTTCCCAAGAAAACTCAAAGGGCTTTTTAAAACTTATTGCAATTTATCAGAACAGCAACATGCTAAGGCCTTCTTTACTGTTATTTCTCCAGATTAATTCATCTTGCTTTTACATATGAAGAAAGGAAAAAAGAAAGACGTATTAATGGAATTAAATATATGCCTTCTGAATTTTTCTCCACTTAGTGATCAAAAAATGCTCCACTCATTCTTAATCTAATCACATGAATTACCTTAGCTAGAAATAACTAGAAACAATTTTGTTATTTCTGGCTACTTAATAAAAAGGAGAGTGTTTTAACAACTGAATTTTTTGCTTTATAATTTTCAATATGAATAGAGGGATAATGTCATGTTTGGGCTTTAAAAATCTACCACTATTATATGGTCTTCAAGGCTATACAATGTTGACCTATCCTTGAATTCCTGGTGTATAATGTGAAATACCTTCTCAATGTGTAATGATGAAAGAAATGGAAGTGGCAGAGAAGAGAATGCTCTTCTGTCAGAGGATACTCCTTAGACAAGAGTTAATTCTGCTCACTGGGTGACTCATAGTGCCCATTAATCAAGAATGATTTCTAAATAATACCCCTCCGGAAGCTTTCAACACTGCAGTATGGTGAATTGGCCAGAGAATTTTGTTACAGTGAAAATGATCTGTACTTTATAAAAATCTCCAGAATCCGAAAATGGGATCTCCTGGCCTTAATGATTACAGAATTACCCGGATCCCAAGGGTGCAATCAAAACAGATCTCATAGATTTCCATCATTTTCTCAGCAATTCATTTAGTGTGTTGTGCATATGCATCATTGTCTGTATTTTGTCCTCTGTCCTCTTCACACAAGATGCAGCAGAAAGTTCAATGCATAATAACACTAAGTAATCTGCTGGAGTTCATACCTCTTTACTGTTTATTGTTAATGGTTGTCTTTTTGTTTGTTTGTTTGTTTTCTGGAAGCCCTGAGCTTACTACAAAAGAAATGAAATGATGGAATGGGAAAATAAATTCTCCCTCAACCCCACAGAGGCATTTGAAGCAGCTTAACATAATAAATTAGAAGCAGCTGCCTAGTAGAAGATTTCTAGGATAAAAATTCAGTGTCTTACATTAGATAGCCTTAATGCCAAGAGATACCTTCTGTACACACAACTACTGGCCAATCATGATATTTATCCATCTCTTTATTTTGTTTATAGTTCAGCACTGGTGATAAGTTAACAGTTATACTTGATTACCGGTAGAAAATCTCACATTCTAATATTCTTGAAAATACTTCACATAGATAACCTCTATAATAGTTTCTCATCTTATTTCTCCAGTGGTGTTATTATGCCAATGCTTACAAATAAAAAGAGGGTCAGAGAAAACTGAAATGCAAAGCCGAATTACACTGGCTAGAGATGATGAGTCTCCTTCATTTCAGTTGCCATCATTCACTCCACAAAGTGCTCTTTGCCTGTTCAAGACTGACCCAAGCATCAGGAAAGGCAAGGCAGGTTTCCTGGGCTGCAAGATTAAACTGCCCCTCTACTCTGACTACAGCTACTTTCCCAGAGAGATCTGACTCATCACCTCTTGAGAATAAGACCCTGGTGGACTGCGACAGTAAAGGGGGTTCTCTATGTTTCAGTTTTTCATCTTGCCATAGGAAATGTTGGTTTTTCTGTTTGCTTGTTTGTTTCATGGTCTGTTTCTGGCTAGATCTGCTTTTCTGCTGTAGTAAAACCCTTTCCTAGCCCCCTGTACCTTGGATTAGGTGGTTAATGGCAAAGCAAGCAATCAGTAAAGGAATAGTAGAGCACTCTCAGTGTGCTGCCATCCCTTCTTCTGATCAATTTATCTCTCAGATAAACAGGGGTTAGTGAATAACAGAAATAACAATCACTTCATTCCCTATGAAGAATGTGAAGAACTCAGACCAGTTTCTTTTTATCATTTGCCCAAGATTTCACAAAATCAATGCCAGATCTCATTATTCTCATTATTTTCACTCATGGCTTATGATCAGATTTTTATAATAACTGATAATAACTGACCATTATATGTACATAAAACATATATATATACACACATACACATATGCATATTTATGTATATATATCCTAATCTGAGAACTATTTTATCTTTCTTAATACAAAATTTTGTTATAACACCAGTACAGGAATTGTAGCAGGTTACTTTTTGTTTTAGATGCCCATCCTCTTAGAAGTCATTAATTATTACCTCATTTGGACACCAAGTTCACATACTGCTTAAATTAAATCTTTGCATGTCTCCAGTCAGTGTTGCACAAAGACTAATTAATTAAACCTCAGAACACCGTTGGGGAATAGGCAGTATTATTTTTCCTGTCCTCAGATGGGAAATCTGAGATATAGAGAGGTTAAGTGGATTGTCTAAGGTCAGAAGTTAGTCAATAGTAGACAGAGTCAGAAAAGAGACTTGGGAAAGGTATGACCCATTTCTCCTCCCCAGTGACAGAAATAACTCCAAAGAGGCATTCCAAATACTTCCAAATGCATCTGTCTAATCATCCATCTATCTTTACCCTTTATATTCATTGTCTTTACAAGTCTTTGGTATATTTTATTCCTCTTGAAGGGAGGGTTAGCTAGGCAGAGGAAGAGGTAAGACAATAGAATGAATAGATGTTACTCACCCAAATTACAACAAACATTTTTTTTCAGCGAACAAAATGTAGAAGAGAAACTCACGGTTTGAAAATAATTCTTTTCAATATTATATGCATATATAATCATACACATATTTAATTAAGAAACTAGGATATCTTCCCCCATCCCACCTCAACCACCCCTCCCCCCATCCCAACCCCTCAACTTGTATATTTGAAAGCATCTTTTTATGTGAAAGCCAACGGATAACAATTCTATTGTAAGAAAAACTAAAAGCCTATTAATAACTTTATAATGGTTTATACAAATGAAAATGCCTGGCATGCTATTAAACTTAGACTTAAAAGGCAATGGAGTAAAATAAAATATTATTAACATAAAATTGAAAGAAACAAAAAAGTTTCTCAGGCACATGAGACTCAGACATGCATCTAGTTTGCTTTTCCTGTTTAAAGTGAGGCAATCATTGTCTTCAATGTTAAAGGGACTTTATGAGCTGATGATTACTAAACAAAATTATTTGCTTTTTAGAGTTATTCTTATTTTTAATTAGACCACATACATTAAAAACAGGGCAAACAGTTAAGACTCCGTGAGGATTTTCCACGTTTAAAGGTCTGAATGTCTTCCTCCAACTTAAAACTGTAATAGTCCTTTGCTCTTTAAGTTGTATACTAAGTAATATACCTGGTTACTTCTTCTATATAACTCAATGAAATCTCTACAAGTGTTAAGAGCTCCCTTAAGATGTTGAGACAAGAGTAGTTTATATTGGCTCAACAATAACAAAAAAGAGTAAATATCTTCTTAGAGACTTTTTTTTTTGTTGAAAGACAATGGTTTATTTCCTAACAGCTAGAAGCTACACAGGAAAATTCTAACATCAGTTATAACCGCTGCCCTCTTTTATTAACAGTGGTTGTTGTCTCCAGCAAATCAGAGACTGCTGTTTTGCCTTTCATGAACCTTTCCTTTTCCAACTCGTTATATTAACTACTTACACTTTTGTTGCATAAAACATCAAATACACAAGGGTATCCACACAACCAAAGTGTAAAATAAGTTTGTGTTTGTTTTTAGTTTCAGTCAGCAACTAGGACACAATTAATCTCTTAGAAAATAATTTTGCCTCTGTAGGTTTTAAAGGCAAAATTCATCTTTTTCATCTTTTAAGAACAAATGTTAAAAAAAATGCTCCCCTTATAATATTTGTTTTAAGTAGTTTAAGTTACAAGAGTCAATCTATGGTTTTTTGTTTGTTTGTTTGTTTTGTTAACCATGCTTCAAGCCAAAACAGCTTCAAGGTGTAAGTTTAAAAAGCACTTTTGAAACTTCTTTAGAAAGCTTTGGTGTAAAAGGTAATTTAAAACAAATTAATAAATAATGTCATGCAGTGGTTAAATTGCCATAATACATTTCTGTTTTAGAAGTTCCTGGAATTTCTTGTTTGTGTTTGTCATGCTGATAGCAGGCTAGAAGTTAGTCCCTTTAACTGTATTTTAATGGCAATGTATTATAGCATGATTTATCAACATATGGCAGGTGGAAGCTGACACAAATTATAATGAAAATTAAAACAGTCATTTATGCAGCAGGCGATTATCATTTAAGGAACATTTATTTGCAGGCTTTAAAAATGAGGGTTTAGGATCAAATGATTTTAAAATGAAAGTTTTAATGACGGTTACCTTTTTCCTGCAGCCACTCCTCTACAGGCCGATTATATTTGAAGGGGATTTTCTGTTTTACCATTTGGAAGCGTTCATTATCAGTGTTGCCTTTAAAGTTTAAAAAACAGCTTAAAGAACAATCTGAAAAGTCAATAAGTCATTAAAAAACATCCTAGGTTTTTTGGTTTGTTTTATGAAGTTTTTAGAGATAGATATCAATTTATCTTTAGTAGAGGTGGAGTTGAAGTCACTCTGCCCTTGGTCGATAGGTTTAAAGGTCCGGTTAGTCTTAGCCATGCAGTACTCCATCATGTTTTAGAAAAGTGGCACGGAATGGGAATCCTTAAGTGGTTTGGCTGTTTTATCTTCACTCTCTCTCTGTCTCATCTCAACCAAACCTTAATTGGGCCAGTTGAGGCACAAGGATCTCCTTGACCCATGAGTAATTTAGCTGTCAGATCAGTTTCACGTCTGAGAGGGAACCCTCACTCCACAGTCAGGCAAGCTCCACTATTAATCTACTGTATTCCCATCAGAAACACAGGGCCATGTCTTTTCTTTTCTTCTCCTCTCAAGTGTTTGCAACGGCTTTATGTTCTGACAGAGGGAAGGCAGAGAGGACAATTTAAGCCTTGATGGCCAAGGGAGACTTCTTATTCCATAAAGGGTGTCCTTGCATCTCACTACCTATGTCAAAGAGGTAGATCAGTACGGATAACCTTTTATATCACTGTCTTTCCAGATTTGTTCCACATTTGTAAAAATAAGGAAACTCAAAAGTCTGGAAATAGAGATAATTATAAATATAGGGATATAACATTTGTAGCCTTTTGAGCACCTATATTTTATAATAGACACTGATTTTGTATATTTTTAGCCTCCCTCCACTTCCCTCCCTTCCTCTCTCCCTTACCTTACTATGAGAGGGCCTTCCTGCATAAGCATCCATTCATAAAGCCTGTTAGGAATACTTCTTCCAAGCATGAAATATCTAATTAGTTTCAAGGCTCAAACATAATGGTTTTAACTACTAGTATGCCTCCCTCTTCCTTCATAACTGTTATTACCACTGCTGAATGGTTTCCATAATTAGGACAGACTTGGAGAGTGGTACTGTGGAGATACACCCTTAATGAATATGCTTCAAATAACAAAATGATGAAGCCATGCCTTGGGAACTGTTCTATCTCATCAACCAACCTCACATTGATCTGGCAGAAATTAGTGAATTGTAATTCATTACTTTGATTCACAGGCCTATATTGCAACTTGGGGAACTCCATTCCAAATTACCAATATTAAAAATGAAAGAAAAATCTCAAACCAGGTGGCCTGGAAACAATTTACAAAGAAATCTTAAAGCCATAAAGAATATTAGAATTGCATATAGCATCAGACCAAATGAATAGGGGCATGCTAAAGCATTTCAATTGCAGGGCCATCTCCATATAGGAGTCATTATTGGCTGGGAAGATTCCACCTGGGAATAAACTTGTACCTACCTTCTGTGTTGGGAAGGTGGGGGTGTAGGATGGGAAAAGGGTAGCAATACTGGAGGATGTTCACAAGGTTCCCCATTCACTTCTCATATAGACAAATTATTCTAAGAAGCTGACTCATATCTTTACTACCAGGAATTTTAAAAATAAGAACTTATAAAACAGGCAACTATGAATCTGCTTCTAGCCTATGTTTTGGGACCGTATCTGGTTGGTACAGGGTATAACACATTAATGTATCAAAAAATAAAATGCAATAAAAACAATTAACAGTTTTGAATTGCAGTGGATAATTTAAAATTTTCCTCAAGGAATCATTTCTCATAGAAAACAATGGAGAGGGCAGGCAAGGAGGAAAAAGAGAAAGACAACTTAATTTCTTGGTGCTTCAATAGCCCATGGTGAAAGACTATAGCTATTGATTAGAGATCATTATAATAGTCTACCTTGGTAGGTCTTGGTACAACATTCTATTCATTAAAAATAAAGTTGGGTAAACTTTTTAGATATTTTCATAGAAAAAGAACGTGTACCTTTTTGAAACAAACCTACATCTGTAACTCATAATCCTACTCTACAGGTGGCAGATACCATAAAGGATTTCATTCATCCCCCAGGGTTTTAGACACAACAGAATACCATACTGAGAAAAGGTAACTGGCTTGGGCCAGATCTGTCTTGAATGTATCCTATACTTTGGGTTTTCTGTATCTGCCATTGTTGGCTACACATTAAATATATTAATGACCTTCATGCTACTCACTATGGAATAGATTAGTGAAGTCAATAGCAAGAATAAAGCTACATATTCTTAGCAAAATGCAGGGCAAAATCAGAAGTAACTAAAATTCCAAATGTCTAGAATTTAATTGCACCAAATTAATTAAGAAGCTGTATTAATTTACTTCCTCCAAATACTTAGGGCTCTTGGCCCTCCTAAGCATCCCCACCCTCATCATCTACTCTCTTTCAAATGTAAAGCACCATAGAAAATAATCTGGGGGCATGATACAGGCTAGAAAAAGAAATAACTAAGTTAGATAAACAGTAGGTGACATGGGGAAGGACAGCATGGCCATGATTCAACCTTAGACCCTTCTGAAAGTGACAGAAAGTCATTCTTCTCCACCTCAGCTTTAAAGACATTTAGAAAAAAGTTTTAAGTTTTCCACACCAGATTGATAATATCTGGCACTAAGGATAGCAATCTTGCATGCTGTTAAAAGTTGTGAAAGATGGAAGGTCATTTGGAAAACCAAATTTGTTTAAATTGCCGCATTAACATTGTTCTTAGTCTCTTTTCATGTTCTTGTTGGTTTTTATTTTAATTTATCTCAAACATTAGTAAGAACTATTTTAGAAACATGTGCATGAGAATGAATTATTTGCCCCATGCCTCATTTGCTAGTTGGAATGAAGAGCAAACAACCTTCTAAACATAAGTATTCTTACACAGGGCTACTCTAAAAGCTGAAAAAACCTCACCAAATTCACATACGTTCTTATAAAATCTTTAATGATATTCAGTCATACATTTCATATAGCAACAAGTATGCACATTTAAACAAAGTGTGAAATCAATTCTTCAACAGAAAGTGATGACTATACTCAAGAAAGAATGGCCTTATGAGTAGTAAAATCATAATATCATTAAAAGTAGGCATACGTGCATTACTAATTAGAGAAAAAATGTAATAACTTCATTTCTTAAGCACACTGAGAAATCTATAAATTGCACAAAGAGATCTTCAAATAAACCGTTCTTAAATTACTTCTGTGGATCCGACACATATATGGGACTGGATTTTGGAAAAAAACATATTAGTCACATTTTATTGTACTTAATTATATGTGTGTTTATTCCCATCTATTTTTGATAAGGGATTGAGAATGTTATACATTTGGCCTCTTCTGGTCATTTTTATTTGGCCCACTGGCTCTAATATCAAGTATTTCAATTCTTGGAGACATGTGCAACAAGCATATGCACTGTGGAATTATAATATTGTGAAGAACAGAATACTTTGAGGTGAAAGTATTGAAGCCCAACTGGTTCATAGTTCCAACCTTTACACTCCAACCTCACATTTTCCACTTTCGGTGAATCCACTTAGGATAAAAGGAAAAGGGAAAGACACGGAAAGCAAACTGACCCTTGAGTAGGCCTGAATATACATCAATCCCTCTTTAAGGTGAGACTCAAAATTTGTTAACAGTCTCCAAGGAATACACTTATTTCAAGTGAAAAACTGAAAAAATAGAGCTTTTGTGTAGCATGGAAAATAAATTTTACAACACTGTGCTTATGCTTTATTGGTCCAAACATGGGTCCTATTTAATTAGAAGGTATACTAATACTCTTAAAGCCATAATCAATACAGCATAGGAGTTAAGACCATGGGCTCTGGAGACAAATCTGGTTTTGAGTTCTAACTTTATCACTTATTAGCTGTGTGACCTTGGGCAAGTCATTTGGCCTCAGTTTCCCCATTTCTCAATTTACCATAGGACTTAGTATAGAATAACAGGGCGTATAGCATATTTAAACTATTTTATTAATATTACTCAACTCTTTTCTAATGATCAGAAGGAAGCTCATTAGTTCCATGGTGTGCTTCCCTCATCTCACTACCTTATCAGTCCTTCATTCAAAAGATGACCATATTCCATTTGGTCCCACAAAAGTCATCTTCCAAAGAGCAACTGACCATAGAAAATGTAACATCCTTAATATTCCCTTAAATCTCTTATCTATCACTTTATATGTTTCTGTATCTTCTAAAACATACTCAGCTAAACCCATTTCCAAAACAAAGTGGATTTCTAAAACCACTGAAAGTAAAAGAGCAATTCAGGCATTGACAAATGTGATTTCTTGGTCCAGCCACAGGTAATGATGATATACTGCTGCTAAGTTGAGAAAGAGTGGCTTAAAGGTTCTACCAATTTGCACCAGGCTGGCAGAAAGCACTTTCTTGTAGGTAGACTATTAATACCAGCTGAGATGTTGTCAAGCACATGGACATGCTAATAGGAATATCCTAACAACGTTCATCTGTGCAAAATGAATGCCAAAGGTATTTTTGAATTTTGTCTTGAGCCCTGAAATAACGGAGGAAAAATATTTTCTTTATTGCTTTGTTGACACTAAAAAATCAGACTGTGGGTCTAATGAACACTCAAAGAATAAATGCTATGTATTAAAACCAGAGGCAAAAGAAAATCAATGTAGTGGTACTGCTGCCCTCAAGTACTAGGGCAGTTTAGAGGCTCTTGCCATGTGTCTTTCCCCAAAGAACGCTTTCTAAGTTTCAGAGAAAGTATATGACACTGAAGGAAGGGAACTCCAGAAACTCTGAGCTTGGCTCGAGTCACATTTCTGGCATTATCCCAGGCCAACTCAGAGTCAGAGGAGGGAGGTGTTGCGCACCCAAAGGCCATCTAGAATATTTGGCCGCTTGTAAGTGATAGATGGATCTCAGCAAAGAACTAATATCTTGTATTTATAAAGTGCCTTTCGACCAAGGAGCTCAAAATGCAATTATAAGCATCATCTCATTAATCCTCACTACACACCTTTGGGGCAGAAGAAAAAAGAACTATTTATAT